CCACCCTCCACATTCTTTGGACGCAAAATAACTCATTAGTCCATTTCATTACTTATTATATGAACCTCGAAATCATCAAATGGATGGTCAGAATTTCGTCTCCAACAACACAGCTTTCATTGATTTATTTTTTTGTTTCTAAGTTATCATTCACTAATTAATCAGTGTTTCTATATTGCAAACTTTGCCATTTTGTTGAAAGAGGTGGTGGGAAAATTCATTTTAGTTAACATTAATAAAAAAATGAAATTGATAATTTTGCTGGAAATTAGGTTATAAAATATAATGGTGCTGAACAAATATTGGCTAATTAATTTTTCGTTTAGGAGTTCAACTGATTGATGTAGCTTTATATTAGTAAGATAAATTTAAGTTTTGCGCTTTAGGTATACTCCAAGCGTGTGGGACGGACTATTTAATGTGTTTTGCAATAAAATATCCTAAATTTGAGCCATTTATGGACACAATATACTGAAATGTATTTGCCAAACACGCTTTTACAATTTTTGAAATGTGTGAGCTTAATATAAAGGACAGAGTTTATCATTTACAAATTATGTAAAACTAACTGCTGGTGATAAAGCTGTCTTTAGAAAAACCAAACGAAGAAGCCTCAAAATTTGGAGTTGAGAAAAATTTGAGGGATTAAGTTTTCGTTCTTTGCTTTCTGCTTTAAGAATATAGGTAAATGCACCACCCTCCATTAATCACTGGGAGAGATGTAAAAACTTACTCCACTGATTAAGCAGCTCTAAAGTAGTGTCGAATTTTACAATTAGTCCAATTAGAAAATCGAACTCAACTTTACAGGTTCAGGCACTTAGGAACCTGATCCGTAACTTCATACCCTGGGGCATTAAAGATTTCAAGATCCATCATCCTTTGGTTCCCTGATTGCACCAATGATTCGATCCCTCTAGCTGTTTATTGAGTCTGGAAGCGACTCCAACATCACAGGTTCTCATATTTTCTGCTTGGTATCGGTTCTGAAAATACTCTTCCAACTCCCTTCTATCGAGTGATCAGGCAGGGCTTGAACCTGGCTTCCATAATGATTGCATTGTTTTGTAATTCGAATAATTAACAAGCGTGCTTCAAACACCATAGTAATGAGTTATAAATGATGGTAGATAAACAGTGTACCACGAAAGGGTAAATCTGTAGGGGGAAACCACCATTTTCCCAAAATGGTCAATTTCGACTTCATTAGGTTAAAATTATGATTGGCTGTGTCGGCAACACATCGATTTCATTGATCCACTTTGAACCAAAGTTTGTTTCTGTGCTGGCAAGCCCAAATAGATGCAATTCCTCATCGCCAGCGAAAGTGATAACTTTTACCAAAGGATTTTGATTCAACATTATTCAACGCAGTTAAGCTTGAGTATAGAACTTTCAGGAAATCTTAATCACTCCAGGCTATTAAATTTATATATTTCCTGGGCCTCGTTGGTTTTTCATCCTCTCCTTCGAATGGTTGAAAGCGTATCGTATCCATATAAATTGAAAATTTTCAAGTGAACTACACTAATCAACGCTTGCGAACCACTGTCAATCTTCTAGTAGTATTTTTATTGTCTGGTTTTGGGAACATCTTAGCTCAGCTATTAAAAATGCAATTACAATTTCACCACTAGTTTTGTACTTTCTCCTTTTCTAATAATTTTTTCACATAATTTTAACCTAATTTCTCCTGGAATGAGTTGACAATGTCGATGTGGAGGCGATTACCCCAAACAATGTTAATAATCACTTTTAGTACTATTGAAAACAATATATGAGCCACTTTTGTGACATTTATATACACTTTTATGTGTGAAATTCCAGTAAATATTGACATTTTTGACGCTATGAAACTTAAAATTCACTCGTAGTACTATTAGAGGATTTGTGTGAATTTGAGCACAACATTTCTTAGAAAATCGTATAGAGTTTCTTAATTCTTCCTCATTCACGGATTTACCGACAGGATTAAAAGTACATGCGTCATTGAAAACAAATAGGAACTCCTTTTGGATAAAAAAAATGTGTGTGAAACGGTTGTGCGAGTTGATGGAGTGGTAGTTTGATTTACATTCATCAAGTAAAAGATCAAATAAAAGTTAAATGAGGATGGAATTTTATTGAATAATGACAACTTACAATAAAAAAATATTTTACGTTAATCGCGATTGACTAACATCTGACATCAGCCAAGTGGGAAAATTTAAACGCGAAAAAAGACAGGTGTTCTGAAATTTTGATAAAATAGTATTGCCCTAGCCAATTCACCTTGAATGAAATCCCACTTTTCGATCGTTTTACTCAGCCCCTAAGAAAGCTTCAATCCCTGAACTATGAACCTGGACACTGTCACTCCCATGAACTTTTTTCAAACGCTCTTTTTTTGGGTAAAGGAGTCTCCATGACAGGCAAATCAACTTCTTTCATCCTCTCATTGGGTTTTAGCCTAGTGGACATCAAACCCGCGTTTTGGTTACTGCACTTCAGTGCACGATTTGAGCTCTACTCCTCTTTTAAAACAGAAATGATAAAAATGGCCAGGCTAGTGTGACATACTGAAAAGTACATATGAATAGCTATCGCGTGAAGAGCATTTCAAGTCAAGTAGATGTTAATACCCGACAAATATAGACAAGAATGCCTTCCTCAAGTGTCAAGATTTTATTCTTGCTTAAAGTAATGAATAAAACCACCGGTCTATTATCATGTGCACTTCCTATTTGCTATTTATTTCATAAATTTTTTCAATGCTAATTGAAAAATTATGGGGTATTTTGAGATATTGCTTTGATTGTAGCTTCAGTGAGGTCTGGTATGAAACGAATAGCATTGCTACTTTGTCTACGCGTAAGTGACATGACCAATCGAGCAATTGTCTTAAATGACCAGCTAGCTCAAAATGTGACCGATACGAACTCACTTAGAAACTTAAGGATCGATTCCTGAAGACGAAGACAGTTGATAAGCAGCATATGTTGATGCTAATTATATACCTTCTGAAAAAATTAGCATTCAAGTGCTTCCTGTCAATTTATCTTTTTGTGTGTTCAGATACGACCCTTACCTAAACATGTAAGCTTTTAGATGTCTCAAGATCAATAATATACTATCGATTATGCCATCTACTATCCACTCAATGGGATGTGCGGTAGATTTTCCTCTACCATACGGCAAAATGTCATAAATCGGCAGTCGACTTCTGACTTCAAACTGCCATGATTAGACTGTATGTCATATTCCACCACTTTCACAGTACTTACCTCACCTTTTTTCGGGGTGTGTGATAGACTTACCTCCACGTGGTGCATCCTGGGCAACGTATGCTCATACGGCAAAAAAGTCTATTAACCGGCAGTTGACTTCTGACTCCAAACCACCATCACCCCAGTGTATGTCATATTCGACTAATTTCGCGGTACTCACCTCACCTTTTTTCTACCTTTGTGTCTGCCTCTTTTACATCTTTGAATCACTCTACTGTCTCCCCCCCCCCCCCAGACTTTTTTCCACTTTGATGTTCCTTCCCCTCTGTGAAGCCTGAAGTCAACTAAAGGGCTAATGATAACTATCAAAATGCCTGTCATTTGATATAAATAAATAAATACCTCACCTTTTTCTACTTTTGTGTCTGTCTCATTTACAAATGTGACTCATTCTTCTGCCTTGCTTGACTTTTTGTGACTTTGATATCCCTCCCCCCAGTCTGTGAAGCCCGAAGTCAACTAAATGGCCAATGATAATTATCATAATGCCTGCCACTTGAAATAATTAAATCAGTTAACTATTCACTCAATTGTGAATTAAGTGGTAAGTTGTACAAGTAAATTAATTGAATCTATAGTCATTTAAGCTTTCTATTTGAAAATATAACTTTTATTAATTGTTACTAATACAGTGACTGATAGTCATGGTGGGGAAAGTTATGTCAATGCAAGCTCGTAAATTCATTCTACATATGAATGTGGTTGTTTGTAATTGCTTCAATTAGTGGAGTTTTGTTGCTGCATGGTTGGCAGCTTCGAGAGAGGCAAAGGTCATTCTTTCAATCATTTGTTCCAGATTATCTTCAGAAAATCCATATATTTTCTGCAAAGCTCCTCGAATTAGATAGCAAGCAACTTCAGGAAGGCTTTCTACAACACTGAAGCACTGCAGAAACACATTTTTCCTTTCCAATGTTCCTGGAATACATGATTGGATGTAAGATGGAAGACTCTGGTGGAGCATACTTCGTAATGATGAAAGACGATCATTAGAAACTTGTTTTCCTAAATGAGTAATATGATTTGCGTTAAATAGTTCGTTTTTTTCGGAAGAAAAAAGCGTGAAGTGCTTACCAAAATTTTCTCTAAAAGAGAACAGAGATAAGGTTTTAAGCAGATTGATTTCACTTGAGGATGGTCGATTTTCAATAATAACTTTGACGAATGATTCAACCATTTCAACTGCCTTAGTTGAACCTAAAAACAGGAGAAATAGATCATCACCATATGACAAATACTCCGCCATTTTTAGTTGGTACGCATTGAATAATCGCTAATGAGACTGTTGACGAAATTTTCACTGCCTAGAAAACTTCACTCAATTAAAAACTTTAAAGAACCCAATTTGCTAAAATACTGGGAGACAATTACAGTGTGAACTGCTGAGCACCCATTAATATTTTCATTACTCGACACTATCGGTCGCAGTTACTCTCAACATGGTAATTTACTGTAAGGAGCAAGTTAGAAGAATTTAATCATTTCAAGTGGAGTAAAATTGCAGCAGTCTTTGGAAATTCAAGAACGAAATTTGCATCCATAAGTTCGTTTTCGTAATCTCCACCACTACACTGTCACGTGACAGCGATGAAATGGTGTAGAAATACTAATCACGATTTTGGAGTAATAGAACCGTTCATTGGTATATACTGATATATACTGTATTCTTATAAAAAAAATCCATTCATTACTATGAACTCATTCTCCCAAAGTTTACTTTAAACGCGAAGTAGCCGTTGTTAGACTATTTGCGCCTTCTGTCTTGCATGACAGCTTTTATATTTGAAAACAACGCTTTCTGAGCAGCAAGATTCCTATTTCAACTTAATTAATATAGGATCGAAGAAGTTATAAACTTGGTTTTGTTCATTCATAAGCCTGCTAAATTACTGAGGTAGAATTAACTTCTCTGCCAACATATAACTGCCTTTTATAACTTGTGCTGAATTTGAATTCTGAGCTGTTTTGCAGTAACTTAAGTGGTCATAGTATGAGAAGACGCGAAAATGGTGTGAATGTGTTGTGTGAGAAAGTGCAAAGGAGGTAACGATTTATAACACCTCTATTCTACACTTGGTAATGCTCAATTGAGTACTTTTTAAAGAGCTATTTGATTAGTCACGAATAACGGGGGTTTCATTTTTTGACTTAAGCAAGGAGGCAACTTTTCAGACTATCCATTACCTGAATTAGTGCTGAAACGGCTCAATGTGGCAAGGAAACTGCTGAACTTGCCAATATCGTCGTCTTGTAGAAAGCATTCCACAGTTTCAAGGAGGAATATTCTGGGCCAGGAGGATTTGAGAAGACTGGCTATTTCTGGAGGAGTTAATTGGAATGCCGCTGGAAATATTGGGGGTCCATTAACGGGCTGAAGGATTTCGTGCAGTAGCTTTCGATCCGGTCGCGTAATTGAGATCCAGGTCATGATTGAAAGAAGAATTCGGTTGACGAAAACAGCCGTTTCGTCTGTTGGCTTGGTAGCCATATGAGGTTGTGATGGTTGTGGGGCGGACACAGTCTCCGTTTCTTCTTCCTCCCTTATTCTTTCTATTTCTTTTTGAATTTCCTGAGATTTAGCTGAACGGTAAAAAACCAATCCACATTTATAAACATGTAAACATTTACATCATTAAATGTTTTATTATTTGTTAATAGTATAATGGGAGGATAGAGTGATTTTCTCGTAAAATATCAATACCTTTTATTTCCCGTCCTTACTATCACCTACTTCATTTGAACTTTTTCTGTTCTTATCTCAGTCTCCATCTCACAAATCTGACAGATATATAGATGTTAACGTGGAACGAATTGCTGTTGGCCTAAGCTGGAGGTGTGTGATTGAGAACGTAGGGTCTAAAGGTCACTGGATAAACCTATGAAATTTGGACGATAGGAAACTCAAGGGAGACGAAATCGCAAGGAATAAAGTGCCAATTTTAAAGTTTAAATGATTGGATTAGGGCTTTAGAAATTTATATTTGACCTCATCTGGTAAATAACTTTTTTCAAAGTATTTAGTTCATCTGTTAATCACATAAAGCTCATCATGTATCAATCATCATCACTGAATACCATCGGACGGGTGCACTTATTCAGACTGTGTATATACATGCGTATTCTTCGAGTTGATTTAATTCACTGGCTCTTATTTAATTGCGTGATATTTTCACATCTTTCGCTCTCAGTTTACTACATCCAAACATGCCGTCTCACTCCTCAGGAAGATGGTGCTTGATTGACAAGCGAGGCTTATTGACAGTTGCTGAGGTGTGAAGACTTCCCAGGAGTCCAATCAAAATAAAATAACAGCGTGTGTAAGCGAGTGCGAGTGCTCGCGTGCGGTCGTGTGTGTGCGCACATTTTTCAACTTTGCTGATATCGCGCGTGCGTGTTTGCGAAATTGAGATATTGCATGTGTTTATGGAATGATTGCTCGTTTTTATTTAATGGCTCTAACCTGACTAAGAGAAAAGTGGGTGATTTATACACCAATTCACCGAAATCGTGAAGGGCTGTACTTGGAAGAGACAAAGTAGTCACCTATCTTAGTACCTTTATCCAGATTTGACAGTAGATAAGTCACAAATTAATGGAGCAAAAGTGTTTGCAAACTTCATCTTGGATTCACCGATAAACCATCTAAGATCCCAGCAACCTGATTTACTCATTTTGACAAAGGTGTCTAATCAAATGCCATTAGAAAAGTTGCACTAACTGTTGTCGATAATATGATCTCAGTTCCTGGTGATTTCATGGCTATTATGTGATCGGGGGATGTTTTTCTTGGCAATTACTATTCAGCTGAAAGAAGAAAAGCAGACTTAAAATAATCTCTCTTACTTGTTAAAGACAAATTCAAGTACGTCTGTTATATGAGGTGAATAGATGTCTCTTACCCTCCTCCTTTTATCAACCGAATTTCCTTACTTCGTTTCATATGTGGACTTTCCATGCCCTGGAGCTTGAGTAACCGTTAAAAACTGTTAAAAAACCCGGACAATTTAAACTAACAAAGGAGTATGCCAAATTTTGACATTTTTGAGACACGTTGTTATTTTCGATGAGTCCAAAATGGAATTCATGTAGCTCTTGAAAAGTGAAGCCAGTAAAGAGGGTCCAAATGAACTGTAACAGCATTTGCAGTTCACTGCAATTTTGTAGTTGTCAATCATTAGTCAAAGGAAACGGGGTAAAAACGAACCAATAATTAATACAAGTTAACGCTAAAATGCAAGAAAATGGATGCGATTCTGTTGATAGTCTAAATTATCTGCTTTTATTTGTAATATTTCGTAATACAAACAACAATTAACTGGACAGCATAAAAAAAAACACTAAATACTCCTTTCTGACCTTTCGTTAATCTGACTATATGACATAGTATCAAACAATTTCTAATTCCATCAATTCTTTCAGCATCTGGAATAGCCTCTACTGATAGGCCTCTACTGTGATTGACAAACAGGTTGTCTGATTTCTGACGAGTGGAATATATGCCTTTCCTGCTCAGTTGGGAGTCTCCTAATATGATAGCTATTCTGGCTCCGTGGCAAGTATATCTGACGCATTTTTTTTACTAGCAGGAAAGAAAAGTAATCGGTTGGTGTAATGCAAAACAATCCAAACGCCTCACGTCGAGACTACGTAATCGAGTAAAAGCATTTGCTTAACTACCAACTCCTGATGTACCAGATTAAAATTTATATATTTATTGTAGTTGTGGTCCAAAATGCAGATGTATTGGAGGCAAATCTATATGTGAAATGAATGCCTAACTTAGTTTTTGCTGTAAAATTTTAAAACTAACCTATCTTTGCCCTTTATAAACATCGAGTTGTTTTAACTTACTCTGTGAAGAACCATTCAGCAGGTTGTCAATGCCAAAAGCTTCAGCTTTGGACATCGTGGGTGTTGACTGTGATTTCGGAGACTCCGGTGACGTGGTGGTTACAATCGATCTCTCATCATCCATCTTCTGTGTTGATGATTTGGGGTATGATGGTGCTTGACGTTGCTGGAGGATTGGAAGAGAAATTGGTTGGCTTGCTTTTAGTAAAAGCTCCCAAGTGTCTGCCCCAGGAGCTGATAGCGGTGGTACACTCGAACCGAAGTTGTAAAAACGTCTGGGGAAGAGCCAGTCAGGAAAGAAGGGATTGTTATTGGAAGATGGAAAAGGTGCATTTGGATGGATCTGGGACGTCTGGGGAGATTGAAAGGGCATTGGAATTGCCGAGCGTGCACTATAGGCCTCAAAGTTACGGCTACGATTTGCAATGCCTGGTTCTGATTCTCGAGCCTGCTTCGAAGGCAGTTGATCTTGAAGCATCATGACAACTTGTCTTCTGAGGGTTGAATTTCTGGGACCTCGTTCGTGTTGAACGGCTGAATGCACAAAAATCTTCATTGGTATGACGTGACCGAATTTGAAATGACCCCTTCGAACTTATCAACTGCCTCAAAGGCGGTTTAAACGAGATTCTGTCAAAGCGAATTTTTATTGCTTATGCACCTTATGGTTGACATGTCAAAATGTCAACAAAATTTTGGCGTCGTTTATTGCTCTAGTGATGTCTCGTTAAAGGTAAGAAGCTTCTTAAAGTCCCAACTTTAAAAATTTAAATTTTGACATTTAAAAGATTTACGAATTTAACAACGAATATTAAAAACTGCATACGAAATGCAAAAACATATTTAGTTCGGACTCTATTCTAAAAGGCTAATTTTAAAATAAACGCTATTGGTTCTTGGATAATGAGATGTAGGAGAAATAAACAGTTAAAAGTCCTTTTTTAAAAAAACCTAATTATTAAAGCACCTATCATGGCTGGAGGAATTTCATAATGGAATTACTCCGACGAGAAACACAAAATTTGCCACCCCTTCGATGTGCTATTGTACTGATCAACGGGAATCAAACTGATTGTAAAAGGGTAGTGTTAACCTTTTCTTGCCGGGAATATGCTATTCTAGCCATTTCAGAAAATCTTCAAAAGAAGGTATTGTAAATTATCTTATGCACGTGATATTCAGTAGTAACAGTAGAGATAAGAAAAAGTTATGTTCATGTTTGAATCAAGAGCCCTCCAATCAGCCAGATGTTCTCTGCTACTTGTATTTTGATTAAGAAATTAGTATCTAAGGTGCAACACGCGTTGCCTTCGCCCTGGCTTAGTTATCTTCCAACTTTGGATTCATTAGCATAAGAGGAGTAGTCGGAGCAGATTTCGATTGCGCAAGGCGTTTTGAGGTCATCTGGACACTTGAAGTCCTGGGCCGGTGATTGCACAAAGAGGGACACTCTCCAAAGCCACCAAACTCCTTCCCCCCTCTCCCCTCCCNCCCCCCCCCCACCCCCCTCCTCTATCTTCCCCACACTTCTGCTGTTTCCCAATAGGACACCGTGGGGGACAGGTTTTTGTGGCCGTGGTTAATTAAAAAAATCGCTGTTAAGTCGGTTATCAGGGCTGGTTATAAGGAAAATTTAAGTCAAACTGAAATTGAGGTAAAATCATTTAACAGAGCACAATATTGCCAATTTAGTGATCAAATTGTAAGCTATGGGATGAGAAACTCCGTGTTTAAGTTAATTAAGCATTTTAATAAATAATTGGACTTTTTTGCTATTACTTCACTTTTGTTTAAAATTTCGAATTTCTGACATGTATGGTTGCTGAATAGTTATTTAGTAAACGATACAAAAGCGGGCAAAAGTAGAAATCTGCATTGCGTAAAAAATTGTTAATTACAAATGGAATTAATTAATGCCAACTCCGGTAATAATTATAATCTTCCTCATTTAAGACTCAAAATTTGCGAAAGGTTTTAAAGTTTCGCAAAGTCACCTAGATCTTCAAGTTGGGTAATGTTTTTTCTTGTCTAAATTATATGCGGTTTAAATGATCCACGTCATTTAGTGTACTACGTTTTGGTCAAATAATGTGAAAAAATCTCATTCACCACTCCACCAATCCCTTATAAAGTTTTAATAGAAAAATCTTATTACGTGAATTCGGCTTGTGAACTGGTCGAAGATATTGCCAGACACGCTGATAGTAGCAAGAGTGATAACAGACTTAATTTAATTGTGAAAGCCAGCTTATTCCTAAGAGAGTACGGGACTATTCTCGGAAGCATATATCAACGATTCGCGTGTTCTAATGAGTTGTAAAGTCTTAATTATTGTAAGCTATTAGAAATTCGGCACTTATTGGTGTAAAATTTTTGGACCACTGCATGAAACTGGCCTGAAATTTAATCTGCATTTGGCATGTGTAAACTCACTGAGGAACCTTGAAAGGTAAATAATGAAAAAATCGGAACAGAATGCAGCATATTTTAAAATGTTGAATTTTCAGAATCTAAATAAGATAGGACACTTTGAATGCATTTCTTCCTTCCCGAACAAAATTTGAAATGGAACGTTTTGCTTTTGAAATTATAATATAGAAAGTGTATATACTGTGTAATATCGCCAAGAGAGCATGTAGGAACGCTAACTTTGAATTAATTGCTTCATCCAGTGTCATGCATGAGTGTCTATTCTATCACCTATCCTGTAATCACGGCTAATTAAAAGATAGTCGCCTACATTCACTTCTCACAGTATATATTCATACATATCTGTATATTCTCATGCCCCTTAAGAGATGAGAAAAAGGACACATTTATAGTAAATAAAACCTAATTATCTGCTGAAGTAACAGTGATTTTTAATCATGTTTTTCTCTACTGCAAGATAGTATTTTAGAAATTAATTGCAAGACGCGTAAATGGGTGAACAAGTACCCTGGAAATTATTAATTTACAACTCAATTGCAATTATATTGAGTCGTTGAGTATTCCACTAAGTTGATCTAATTTATTTCTTTTGTTTTTTTGTATCTTTCCACTTACTTCTAGAAAAAAAATAAGAATCGAAGACCCTTTTGTTAAGAATTGCAGGCATTTTTGTGCATCTTTTCTGAAGTTAATTGCGTGTGTGGTCCAAGAAACACACGAATGCAATTAATGACGCCCTCCTGGAAATTCAACTTTACACCTGTGCTGTGGGTTGGCGCCTCCTTGATTCATCACAAAGAAGGTTTGCCGGTAGTGTGTGCGGTTTTGGAAATGACTGACCACTCCTCAAAACTACCCGCTTTATTAGATCCGTAAGTAGATGGTCTTGATCCACTTTTGCATGTGAATATGCGATTAGCCAAGCAGTTGCTTGAATAATTTCAATTAGCCCTACTTGGTCAATTAGTTGAGATAAAAAAACTTTGTCAACTTTTTATTTGCACGAAATCCTCTCACACTTCTTTTAATAAACTGACCTTAAGTGATGCGGTTTCCGGAAATACCGACTTCGTGAAATGGAAATTTTGTGATCTTAAGGGATAGTTCTCTTAATGCAATTTAAATGAAAGTAAACTAAGACACTTTTTGAATAGATATTTTATCATCCTACTTAATGTTGCAGAGGGCGTGAATCAAGAGTGATTTGTTAGTAAGTAACTGCTTTGTATGACAATTATGTGGTCTATAGAGTAATAACGATTTACATGTTTCTTGATATAAGACGTCAAAAAGTTATTGAAAATCTACTTGTTGTCTATTCTTTCTCAATGAATAAAAAAATGCCTAAAGAGTTTTAATCCAAAAGTAACTGTCTACTAATCATGCCACTTATATAAATTGTAGATAAAAACAAATTGGTTTCGGAACTTACAATCACGGTTCATTCCAGCTTCCAAGCACTTTTTAAGCCGACAGGCACGACATTGATTTCGATGAGGCTTATCCACTCTACAGCTCGAATCTTGACCATTTTTTGACTTACAGGTATATTGCCTGTTTCGACGGATCGATCTCTTGAAAAATCCAGCACACCTAAAAGATTCAAACAGAGTATTCAATGAATTCGATTCACTGATCTAAGGTTTCAAGATAGCTTGTTGACTTACCCATCACAGGCATATATTCCGTAGTGCTTTCCAGAAGAGTGATCTTTGCACACTTTACATGGGATATCGTAGAGTATCCGACCTAATGATGATAGTACGAAGATGTCATTAGTGTCAACTCAATACGTATTAAAAGTCAGTTTAATATTTACCCATTGAACTAGTGGGCTGCTGGAAGTCACTAGAAGAGGACTTTCCTAGTGGCGTATTGGAGTCAGCGAACATTTGACCAGATATAAGTGTTTATGAACAAAAATCAGGGTACTTAGTTTCACACGGTATAATTTTTCGTCGATTCCAGGTCAATTTCAACTTTCTATTAGCTGATTGGCTGTCACAAATACGCAAATAGCGCAGTGGTCTGCGTGCATGGGCCGCACGCGACCTTCATCCAATTACTAGTTGATTATGACTCGCGCCTTGAAACTATTGGCTTTTGCCCCTTCCGCGCGCTCGATTTCGGAGTTGGGAGTAAAATTTTATAGTTTATCCGTTACAGGAGTAAAATCATATGTTTATGGTTTGGAGGTTTTATTTATAGTTAAAATTCAATTTTTAGTACAGCGTGAGAACTGTGTGTTAATAAATCGTTTTTAATCACCATGAGATTCCGTACTACCAATAAGCTAAGAAAGACAAATGAGGTTCACAGTTCGACACTTTTTTATTTTATTAAATATCAGTTATTTTCTTTCGTTGTGCGCCAAAGTGGTGTAAAGACGGAAAATTTTTCTGTTAGGTTAGTAGAAAATGGGCCAATTTATACTTACCTTGTAGCTCTACAGTAAATAGCCATCAAAATGCCATTGGATCAAAGCAAGCATTTTATTTGTTATTTCTAACCAAGAATACCTATGTCTAAACCCAACCTCCACCAATTTATAACAGAAGTATACTATTTTGACAATAGTACAATTTTAAAAGGGGGGGGGGGTTGGGGAAGACTTACCTCCTCGTGGTGCACCCTGGGCAACGTATATTCATACGGCAAAAAAGTCTATTAACTGGCAGTTGACTCCTGACTTCAAACTACCATCACCCCCCCCCCCCTGTAGCCATATTCTACCCCTACCACAGTACTCATCTGAGCCTTTGTGCCTGTCTGCCTCTTTTACATCTGTGAATCACTCTTCTACTCCCCTTCCCGAATTCTTCACAGTTTGGTTTTCCTCCTCCCCTCTGTGAAGCCTGAAGTCAACTAAAGGGCTAATGATGACTACCAAAACGCTTGCCTTTTGTTATAAATATAAATAAATAAATAAATACAATTTTAATAGGACTTCCTCGTGATCACCGACTTGGAAGACGAGAAAGTTGATCGCCTCGCTATTGTTACAACTCATATGCTATGCAATTCTGAATAATTTTGGTCATGAAGAACTTTCTGAAGACAAAACGAAGCTCGAGATTCCTTAACCATTGTCAGTCTACCAAAATATTCTAGATATCTAATTGCTGCGTAGTTGATATAGTAATGTTCTCAATTATTTTAGAATTAGTGATATTCTGAATTATTTTTAATTTGGTAATTTAAAATATATCGTAATTGCTATTTAAAGTTGGTAATCTTGATTGCATAATTTGATCATATTTTATCCCCCATGGATCTAATACCAGGCCATATATTTGACCAAGTAGCTTGTGCTCAATGTTTCTTGCTCAAATCTACTATGTACCTTGATAAAAGATGGGAACTAATTTCAAACATTCATTGGACATCAAAGTTGTAAAATTATTATTGGGTTGACATACATTACTTTCCCATGCATCTATTTTTGATTCACATTTCACGCAAACTAAATCATGACAGAAGTAGGTGGCATTGACTGTTTCCTTCCTCATTAACTAAAACCCTCTCTGTATGCTCCACCCTAAACCCACCCCCCCGGACAATTCGTGTTTTTCTTACCTCAATAAGATATTTCCTATTTGACACTATCGCATGCCAGTCTTGTGGTTGCCGAGTTGGTACGGATGGAAAGAACACTTTCGCCATCAACCCCGTCGAAATTCACCTTTTCCCCTCTGATTTCTGTCACACAAATTTGCAATATCTGTTGGTGATACAATTCGCATTTTTTTGAAATGGGCCAATCATTTCGGTCAAAGATATGCATACATTCTACTTTATGCTTTTTTTCTCTGCAAATAAAACGATGTTTTAAGTATTTACCCATATGCAATAGTATTTTAAAACTTCAATGTAATGATAGAAATTTTAGTGCATTAATGTAATCTGTGAAAAAAAAATTGTTCAAATCCATTGCATTCTTATTTCGTTTGTCCTTGTATTTTCCCAGATAATCCGTGTAAAAGAGGGCTTGATATGTTCTCCATGTGAACCATCTTACTTGGTCTACCATTCGTTGCTCGAATTCATGCACCCAAATAGGTCCATTTGTTATATCTTACTTCTTCTTTTTTCCTAAACATAGCGTATGCAATACATCCGAAAGATCAGCTCTATTTGATTGGCATTTTAAGAAAACAAACGCAGCATACTGGAATAAGAAAACAAAGAGTTTATTGAAACTTTGCAACAATTTACCGCCCTTGCCAATTAACAGCAGTGTGCCTACTAGTTAAGATCAGTGGTGAAAGCTCTGATTGCCAATAAAGGATTGTGTTCTCGAATTTGGAATTCCCAAATAAAATAATAATACAGTTTTAATGATGACTTTATTTTTACGACAAAGGGCTCATGGATTTCCTTATCCGTTTCTAGTCAATCTTTCTTCACCATTACACCTTAGAAGGATCCTTCGCTACTCGTCTACTTAACTACTATTTTCTACTTAAAATACCTAAAAAAATTGAGCAGTAAATGAATGGTGGAAGATGGAAGTATGGTAGTTGAAAGCAGAAGACAGTCGTTAATCGCTGAAAGATATTCCTGCACGGAGGGAAGATTGCGACAACAATTTCCTGTTTTCAAGGGTTTCTGTAAAATCGTTTTCGTTTCTTGTTGAACAAAACAAATTATTTAAGTCGTTGCGTATATTGTTCTTGTTGTTAGGCCTTTCAAGTGTTTTTTTTTTGGGGGGGGGTTATTGCTAGTGAGGCGAGACAGAATCTAGGGAAGAGGCGAAGATGAAAGGCGTAAAGGGATTTTGGGTCGCGTGTCACCGGAATAATTGAATGGTTTCAAGACCAATTATGTTTCTTCAGGGGTTTCCTTTTACTTTTAATCGTCAACTAAGCTCGATCTTAATTAGAGAATACCAGTCTAATCTACAAACAACGGTTCAGTACCTGCCATGCCATTCTTTTTCAAACTTGGCGATACTTTAAAAATTTACAAGAATTGAACAAGGCTGAAAATTATAATCAATCATCAATTATTACTATTATTATTCTTATTTTAAGCTTAACTTGTTTTGTGGATGCATTGATGTGTCTGTTTTCTCACATGGGTTATATTTTATTTTGAACTATTAAGCTAATTCAAAACTAACTATTTCTTCTTTGTTTCTGGGTGAATTTATGCTCGCGATCTTCACACCTACTTATTGATTAATCGATTAGTCGTTTTGAATTACTTATATATCACTTCACCAATGAATAGGCAAATGAGACCAGAAAACGGGTTTCAAAAATGACTAAATTCAGTAGAGTTGGATCCGCATGAATACGACTAAAAATAGTTCATGTTCCCTTTTTCTCAAATGGAGACACTTCGAAACAAATGTGTTGTATTCTATCGAAATATTGTAATTTGGGCATTTCAGTTGCAAAAGTGATCACTTATCACATTTCGGACTTTTCATTACTTTCGAATAGGTGATAATGTCGACAGGATGAACCCGCACATGTCTGGTTTCGTGTGGTGTATCCGAATCTCACACACACATGCACTAGAGTGCGCTACTTATCAAATGTATCAATTGGATGTTTTTGCACAAGGTCTCTCTATTTTAGCACCTGTCGATTTGGGAAAAATCCACCTCTATAATTGAAACATTTGCGATGTGAGAATAGGAAATGGTCCACATTAAAATGTCTTGATCGTGCACTTTTCTCCATTTACAATTTATAAACCATTTTGACAAAGCGATTGGTTAAGAATTCCTTATTAAAAAGCGACACTTCAGTCATAACTAAGTTCAAATAACTTCATGTGTCTAGATTAGAGAGGGTGTGGCCAGAGCAAAGGTTTACGAAACGCTCATACAATTTCAATTTCCTTTGACATCACCTAAAAGACACAGTTAGTCATAGGAATTAAAATTTTCATTAAAACAACGATAAATGGAAAATTTAGCATTTATTGAGGCTTCTTAGCTTTCGCACAAGTACCACGTTATAAATTATTGCAGCTGATGAAATGGATGTCCATGAGGTTAGACTTGCAAGTGCAGTTATTTCGGTTTCTAGGTTCTCTTCTTTCCATGCGTTTTTAGGACTGACAAACCCAATCACTCCCCCTTCATTAACACTTGCATCCCGGTATCAATGGATGTGGCTAATTCACGGTGAAGTTAAATGATGTGATAACGATCATACGTGGGTGAAATTCTAAAAATCACCAGTAAAACAGGTCACAATTAACCAAACGTGCTCGATTGAATTAGGTTTAGTTAAACAATTTTACAAAAACATACAATATTTAAATTCTTTTAGAGAAGAGACAAGGTTATTTATCATTTGTTTACTTTCTGTGGAGGTTACATTCCCAGCAAGATTTCACTATTGGATATTATTAATATGAGAAAAGACATTGTGATATCCTTTTTTCTCACCGTTCACAATTTACTCACCTTACTCCGGCGCTTCTCATGATTAAAATAATTATGAAAATCATATTATCTCAAACTTCATCGATTAAATCCCTTCCTAGGCATGACCACCCAGTTGGTAAATCGGTCAATCTCAATAATTAACAGTTAGTGTATTGATGTATTGGACAGAGAAGGAATTGCCAATTATAATTTCGGTCATTTAAGCTATTGACTGCATGCAACTTCATTCATCCAAAAAGTGTGTCCCGAATTTGCAATCGGCCATTTTTTGTAGTTGCCAAGGCGGGCAGATCAAGCAACAGTTCATTTAAGCGAAACGTTTATCCCAAAAGTAAACACTAAGGCTAATTGGGTCAACTCCAATTGAGGGACTTGATCGAAACCACACCCCTACTCCCCCCCCCACCCCCGCCCTCTAAATTCCCATCATGCTGACTGAAATCCTGCCCAAATTTAATTAACCTGAGCCCCAACGTTGCTACTCAGTTATCAAATGGGTGCAAGCTACTAAAGTCGTTTATTCATAACTGATTCATAATATATAGATATATGTACTCGCAAGGCACTCTCTTTAGATAAGGATTTTCGGAATGTTATAAACCGGAAGTCCATCAGAAGTGTGCATATATCCTAGAACTCATGCTTAAAAATATGTAGTTGAATGAACTGCGATTTGACACATTTCATCAATTAACCAAATTTTATGATCACTAACAATAAATTATGATTTTTATTTTCTTGGATTAGAATTTCCCATTTCTACCCGATACGTCCTGATGACAGTCGTTCGGCCTTACGTGGGGGTGCTGGTTCTTCGCCATCTTAAGTGCTTTACGATATCTTCTGAAGCTTCCATTGTAATGATCGAGAAGAATAAAAGGACTTTGTCTCCCTAGTTTTGGTATTCAAAAAAAGGAAGGTGTTGCATGTGTCTAGGTAAGGCTCAGTTGTGTCTATCAGTTAAAAGTTAAGGGTGAGCAACGGGAACGGAGAAATTGCCACATCTCATCCCTATTTGAATACCAATATGTGTCATCGTCCTGTTCCTAAACTGCCAAGAAACTCTTCTACTGTCTCCTTCCCTTTCGAAGCAAGAAGCTTCTTCTCACATTTCAACGTATTCTTCAACTTTGTCACTGGAAATAGTCAGAGAGTGTAGAAGGGATATATTTAGTTGAAGACAGAACTCCACAAATCTAGTAGAAGAGAATTGAGTGAAAATTCTGGAAACAATGACGTTTGGTATGCCCTAATTGGCGAATATACACCAGACGTCACCGATAGTGAAACGAATAATGTGCATTAAGTCAGACCACTTTGATTGTGAATCAACTTGAATTAGTTAAGTATTACCTAGGATAAGTACAGCAAGAATAAGATCAATACAAGAAGAAGGGGGGGGGGGTGTGCGATAGACTTACCTCCACGTGGTGCACCCTGGGCAACGTATACTCGTACGGCAAAAAGTCTATTGACTGGCAGTTGACTTCTCACTTCAAGCTACCATGACCCCACCGTATGTCATATTCGGCTACTTCCACAGCACTCATCTCACCTTTTTTCTACCTTTGTGTCGGTCTCTTTTACATCTTTGAAACAATCTTCTTTTCCCCCCTCTCTCGACTTTCTTCACTTTGATGTTCCTTCCTCTCTGTGAAGTCTGAAGTCAACTAAAGGGCTATTGATAACTCCCAAAACGCCAGCCATTTGATATAAATAAATGAATACAAGAAGAAAGTACGTAAGTTAGAGGGTATATAAGATTCTAACGATGAGGAATTACAGTTTCGATTGCATTGCGTGCGATCAGTTATGGCGCTGTTCCTTTGACTAGGGCAGTAAGTATAGCGAGACTAACTTTCGTGAATTTGTTACTCACAAGCAGACAAGAATTTGGAATTGACACACGGCAGGCTCAGAATCAAAGTGTACTGGAGCGATATAAGTCATGCAAGATTCCAGGGAGCTCACGGGGTTCGTTACTCTTGCAATATTCCTGATTGATGGGTTCAGCAAAATGTCACCATTGGCAGGAATTGCAATGGAAAGCCTCTTTAGGTAAACAGATATAACTGGATAGCGGGAAGGATTATAAAAGAATTCGGAAAAAAAGCATTAGTAGTTGCGGTAAAACATCAGAATATATGTTAACCTCGCTTTTTTTCCAGAAATAAACTTTTTATTCTGCGTATAGACACGCAAACATTTTGTCAAGAATTAGGCCACCCAATTATTTTTTGAGAACTCGAACTCTTTTACTTTAAGCATTATAGAATAGTCAGAGTTGGAAGTAAATGTGTACTCGGCACTCTAATAACCTGTTTCGCCTTCAAAGCTAGCTAATTTCACGAAATGGCTTAATTGACAAGAATTACTTCAAGTGTATGCAAGGTAACGGCACCGTAATTAAGTAACCCTTAAAAATATGAAAAAATAGTTCGCCTTATTTCGATTTGCTATCGAATTAAGAAGGACATTTTTATAGTCATGCAGTTTAATTTTTTGACTTGGACACCCGACCTTGTTATTTCTTGTCAATAGGAGAGGTGGTAGAAAGTAATGGGACTCCAAGATACAGTCTCTCTAATGGGCGGCGCTTTTGAAGCTAGACTAAAGGCCGTACAAGATGGTAGTTGTCTAGATTGGAGTTCCCATTTTCGTATGGGTGCATTTCACAAACTTCTTCATATTTGCCAAAAAATATGAAAGAGTGTCCACTTCCAAAATTCAACAAGTTATAAATGCCATCATTTCAAATTTTGTCAATATGAACCAAAATTTTCAGCTGGTGCATTTTGTCTTCAGGGAAGATAACAGGATGGTACTCTGAATTCCTTGAGAATAAATAAACGCCAATTGCAGCAACAGATGGCAGACCACGGTTGACTGCTAAAATTTCAAAATAAAGCAAAAATGGAGCAAAACTTAACATCTATATCGACGCAAATCACTCTACATTTGAATTTATTGTGACTAAATCATGATTACATCATGGAAATAAAGTTAGTTCAGATAACACATGGACACACCGTGCATACTTGATATCTCAATGAAAATAATGTTGAACTTTAAATTAACATAATTTTTTTGGACCATAGCATTTTCCAGTAAATATTTATTATAGTTAGCTTGTAATAATGATAGAATTTTTATATAGGCATTGAAAAAGCTTGGTAATTAACATTATTCCAAATTTCAATGACTTTTACTTAGACAAAGCGCAATCATGAAACCTAACTGAGGAAGAAGCAAAAAAATTTTACATTGAAAAATGTTCAATTACTAGTTCAAACATTAAGACAAATTAAGCAGTGTTTCATTGCTTATTATCATAAATGTGGTTGGTCATTAGAATTTGTTGAATAGACATTAGATGAAAGTACGAATTGCATTTAATTTTTTAAAGTCTATTATGGGGTGCATGGGATCAGAATAATCTAAACGAATAAGGATTTTGAACTCCGCGACAAAAATAAACGGATGCATGCGAATGTAATTCAATAGCGCGATGCTTGGGGAATATGATACTGCGCTGATCAATTGTAACTTTTAATGATAAATGCTCATGCTGGAAACTATCGTCATGTTTCGCAACATTTATGGCGCGATTGCGATATACCTTTCATGAATGGATCACCACAAGAAATGTTTTGAATGGGTTTGCGCATAGTGAATCGACAAGATATCGTCCTGAATTTTGGGTGGTAGCCAAGAACATTAACTTCAGAAAGAACATTTTTTGTCTTTTCACTAAAGAGTAAGACATCCAGTATACTACAAATGAACGGAAATTAGACATTTTAAAAAGATAATGGTTATTTTACCTATACTTTCTTCAAATTGAACGATCATGTCAAACAATTTCATATTATTATTGGAAAACGACACTTTTCAGATTTTCACAGACTATCCCAACTTTTCTCTCACTTCCCATTCCTCACTTCCTAGCTGATTTGGAAAAATGACATTTTTGTATTATCCAAACTTTGGTTTCTTTTTAAGAAACATTGTATTTTTCTGTTTGTCTTTAGGACGATTTCAGAACTTTAAAGGAGAAATATCACCTATTAAAACTAAACAAATAAAGCTCTTGATGAGAAGCAAATAAAACTTATGGTGCCATTGACAGGATACTGGAAATGGTGGAACTGGGAAATCAGAAGTAAGTGAATTTTGAATAAATGATATGGACACAACTTGATTGTAATTATTGAATGTTATATTTTTTAAAATGTAGTGTGAGATTAATAATAGAATATAAATTGACAGAAAAATCACAAAGTTAATGTTAATTTAAGCATTCTGACACTTTATGGATATCAGTTGAGAAAGAAGAATTTTAATGCAAATAAAACTTTTATATTTTTCGTAATTGGAACCATGAATAATATTTTAAAACGAAATACTAACTTATGAAAATTGTACAAGTCAGTAAGTTGCATTTTGATACGCGAACCAAAAAATAAAGATATTGTTCTATACAGTTCAGATAGCGGCGTCTTTTTAAAAGGCTCAGATTTAGGTAATCTTCCTACTCGTACGTTCCACTTTTTGTTTTCGAAGTTATTCACGTTTATTACTTTTATTTCGCTTACTTAGCTTTGGTTTTACCTTTTCATTGCTTTTAATTTTTCATTTTTTCATGCATATTTCTTAATTTAATTTAGCTTAACAATGGCTGATGATGATGACTGGGGCATTACTCCTAATTATAAAAATGTTATGACTGAAATGGAACAGCGATTCGGCTTAAATGCAGTTCCTGGTCGGGTTGGCTATATTGAGTGAGCTTATTGATTGTTAATTTTCTATCTCATCGGTATATAACGGTAGCCCTAATTGTTCGTCATAACGTTTACGGTTTATTTATTAGTATGAATGAACTGCGACAGACCGTCGTTAAAGATGATGAGGAGGACAAGAAAAAAACACTGCCAAAAGCGTCCTACGGTTATGGTGGAAAATTCGGTGTTGAAAAAGATAGAATGGATAAGGTAAATTTTGGCCCATGCTTTTTAATAAAATACGTTTTCATGTGGAGTTAAATTGACATAAATCAAATTAGAGTTATAAAGTCTTGTGATTAAGATTACCTCAATCGTTTTAGTTATATTACTGTGTGACTTTTTTATTCATTATAACAAGTTTAGTATGTTAAGTCGACTTTCTATTCTTACTCCGATTTATTTCGTTCATTTCCATTTTCTATTCACTTGTTAGATAAACAGAGTATCGTAGCATTTGATGAATCGAATAATTCACATAAAATCAATTTTGTCGTTGTGGGAATACGTAATCAATAATAATGAGGAAAATACATTCTAACAATGTTCATTTTTCTATATCTTGCCTCGGTAATATTTTAGTAGCTAACATTTATTCCTTATCTTTACTTTAAAATCTTGATTTCGTTATCTTTAAAAAACAAGCGGAAAGTTATTATTTCTATTTTCAAGAGTGGTATTAATTTACTCTTCGGTTATTATTGAGCAATTAATGGTCACATTCCATTTTTAAATGTTGACTTGCACTTGGTGATTAATTTCATACATTTGAGCCTTTGTTTACCGCTTGTTGAAGCTAATTTTAGGTCACCGAATATGAAATGTGATCAATGAATTTTCACTTCAGATAGGTAATAATTTAGCTGTAGCTTTGGAAAATGCCAAATTTTTTGACAGTTTTAGACCACTTTATCTAGTGAGCATTAAATTCAGGTTGTTCGCTTTTATTTTCTGCTACGTATTCGAAATCTGAAGGAACTTGAATATTTCCTATTTTAAAACCTCCTGTTATAAAAAAAGTAAAAAATATCGTTAGTCATTATGCCATTATTGTTTCTAAATATGTTACCTAAGTGGAGTTTTGCTAAAATGATATAGAGCTATCATTATTCTCTCCGGTCAAGTTGTGGATCGTGTTTTCGATATTCATCCGCGCACTTACTATGAACAACATCTTCAATTTTGTTTGTCGTCAATGAATATATATTTTGCAATTTACAAGCCACGAGGAAGCCCAAGGTCTTGTTATCATTAGTGAAAGCTTATTACATTTAAACTCCGTTTATGTATTGTGCGGAATAATTAATTCTAGTTCATGTAAACAATGTAAGAGCTAACCTCTATAAGAAGGAAATGTTAAGTTAAATATCCTACTTTCTCCTTAACGATAGTTGAATTTGAATAATTTCCATTAAAACCTTCAAGTTGCTCTTCTGTTATTCTAGACTCCCATTGGTTGTGTTCGGAAAGTCTTTTACCTTCTTAAAATTAGACCACGAATCATTAACAAAATGGCATTGGCTTGGATGTGTCAATGACAATCTCTCAATGATTAATTACTTCCTTGGTCTCCCCTCATAATGACGTGGTTGATTTATTTCTTTGTTTGCACACTTTAGGTCTAAGAATAGATCTTAGTCTTGGGCACTTGGAAAGAGCGAATTCGTTCAACGGCAGTAACAAAAAGAAGATATATTTACCTTAAGTGTTTTCTCATTACCTCCACCCCTTCACATGAGCGAGTATGGGGCTCTGCAGCTTTGTGTCTCTTGTGTGAAAAAGCGCAATTTGGTACCTAAACCCCACCCAAAGTCCTATTTTTTACTTACGTTGAAGAAATTTTACGGATCCTTTGTTGTCATAGTAGTAAATTTATTACTTCATATTTCTACTGTGAGCTGGTGACACAATGACCAAGGAGTACGTTAGACAATCCAAAGGTCACCAGATTAGTGTGCGGAGTGCACTTTCAGGAGTGCCAGCCACCAATCATTGTGATTAATTTTGGTTTTCTCATAAGGGCTGCTGCAAGACGCCCTCCCTCTATCCGAGTCAAGTGTTGTGGACACTTGGGATGTTATAAATGTTTAAACTCCTAAGCCCCCTAAGACTTCATCCTTGTAGCCTCATCTTGGGTAAAAGGGAAGCATTGTAAGTCCGTTCTACTGAGAGACCAACACTCTGCCACCCCTTTTATTAGTCAGGCTTAACAATTGCTATTGGATATACCAATAGCTCTGTCTAGATTGACGGGCATCGAAACTATGCCTCCTCACTGTGTATGTGTATACTACCAGCACACAGTCATTAGATTTAAAATTAACATTTAGATATTCATGGTTGTAAAATCATTCGCATCAGACGAATTTATAGGAAGCGTAGTCAGTGGACTAAAGTCTATTGGTGTTAAAGTAACTCGTTGGAATAGATCAGCCTATGCTTATGCAAAGGTGCTAGCTGGCTTTCTGGACTAGTTTGTTGGCAATACTTATTCCAAGGTCTCAGTGATTTAGATTTCTTAGGTTTAGTGAAGAAATCCATGGATAGGGAGGTCTCCTTGTAAATTTGATATGGAGAAGCAAAGTTAAGGCTGTTTAGTTCCGTCGTACGGAGGCAGAATGCAATGCGGTAGAGAGTGGTGGCGTTATTCATCACAAGCATATATTCTCGAGTTTCTCTAACGCTAGCAAATAAGTGGTTAAAATTTAACTAGATAAATTTTGGATTATTCTTCATTCTAACGTATTGGAAACTGCTCCTGAAACCAAGAAGCCTAAAGAGAATACGTCTTAACTGGATCCTATCTTAGTTTGCAAAGATCCCCGAAGCCTCCTTTTCCACTTACTCGGACTCTTTTTCTCGATTTTGAAATTTTTTCTTTGTTGTAGCGTTCTCATAGTGCACAATAATAGAACCTGAGGCTTTATTGATCAACTTTTTTGGTGCTCGCTTTATACTGAGCGAATGAATCAAAATGAGCATATCCTTTGTTAGTAGAAGTAATATATTTTTTTCACATCATTGCACTTTTAATTGCACCTGATTGTATCTCAAAGAAAATTGAGGAGGAGGTTAACTGTGGATTCGTTACTATTTTTTTTCTCGTTTTTTTACTTGTCTATTTCAGAGTGCCGTCGGAACTGATTATCACGCAGAGTTGAACAAACACGCCTCGCAACAGGACTACTCCAAGGGCTTTGGTGGAAGATATGGGGTACAAGCCGATAGGCAAGATAAAGTAAGCCGCAAGCGTTGCTCTTTTGCATGAATCAATACAAGTTAGTAAACGTGATGATGATTGTACTTGACTTTATAAGTAACAGTGTAGTTCATCGCTCAACGATCTTTACAGCAATCCAATAGGTCGTTATGGAGATGATAAGTTGTAAATAGAAGAGAACACAACAAAGCAAATTGCGCAATGGGAAGTAAAATGTGTTCATTTAGGCCATTTTGCAAGAAGGAAAATAATCGTTTAATTTGCATTTCAAAAGTGTCAGTTGGCAGGAGGGTAAAGAACTTGCAAAGTTGACATTTTCTGTAAGGGTAGAGGAGTTTACCTTTGTAAGTTGCAATCGCCAATTTGTGTATGTTTATTTAGACCTAGAGTTATAAATAATTATTTGTCCTGAAGATCTTGTGGCTTTAGATATTGATGAGTGTGTTTTGCTTGTTCGCAGTCTCCATGAGGTGAGACTTTACGAGATGTCTAACTTTACAAACATTTGACAAACTAGTTTCAATTCGTTTTGAAAGAAAGGAAAGAATTCATATTAAACCCAAAACAGGGTTCTGAAAGTGCAATAGGTAGCTCCATTTCTATTTCTATAGGGTAGTAAGCTAGTGTAAGGTAGGCAGGATATTGCTCTGATTACCACTCAGTGATCACAAGAACACCTACGCCACCGCAAACTGCGGATAGATTGTTTAGACGAAGACAGGAGATACTTGTACTAATACGCGTCTCCTAGATCACGCTTTTAATAATTTGTGTGCAAAGCTAAATAAAATGTTATCTTGATCTTGAAAAATCGATTCAGGTTAATTACGATCAGATTTTGAACTAACCAATAGGTGTGATATTTTTTGGGTCTTCATTCATTGTTTCAGGCCGCCGTCGGGTATGATCATCACGAGGATTTATCGAACAAGTCTGCAGGGCTTCATCCATCTCAACAACGTATGCTCATTTCCAATGATATAATGACGATGACTTATTTTTTGTGAAATTAAGATTATTTTTAATATATATATATATATATATATATATATAGAATGAATAAGTGGTAAGTTGGTTAAGTGCCTTTAGATTTATTCCTCAGGTTTGCCCTATGCTAGGCTTAGTTTGAGTTCAGTTGTTTAGGATTGGTTCACCGCTGAAGTGATGTAATTAAAGTACTATTCGTTGCAGGAGCTGAGGTGACAGGTGGACAGAATAGGGCGAGAGAACTTCGTGAGCGATTTGAAAAGCTGGCGTTAGATATGAACAAACCTGCCGAAAGGCCCTCACGACCCGATGTGGGGAAAATCAAGCCACCCGTATTTGCTCAACCTAAGCCGACTGAGGAGGTGAGTTGGTTGGTTTGCCTCTCAAGATTTATTTTGTCAGATATTTAGCTTTACTCTACTCCGTCGATAGTCACCTCCTTTCTTGGTATTTCGCTCACCTATGCATCTATATTCTGTGGAATTTATCCGCAAAATGTGCTACTTTCATTTCACTCAAATCTATTCCAATATTTATCTTGAGAGGGGCTATTTTATTTGAAGTAATCCCTCAAGAAGGCAGGCATTAACCAGTGGGGTTTAAAATTTCAGATCAATGAATGTGCACGGACGAGTGTTGAATCATTTTACTTTCATGCACTCACGAGACATATATATATATATATATATATATATATATATATATATATATATATATATATATATATATATTCAACCACATGTGTTTGTGTGATTGACAATTTGATTAGAACAATGCGAGCGAATGAGTGTTTAACACTTGCATCATGTCTACTTCTTTAGACAGATTGTATGCATTGCGCGTTAAATTGATATTCGAACCCACAGCTTTAGCGGTGGGGCTATGCTGCTTTTGGAAAGGCGTAGGGGATTAGACCCATGGCTATTTTGCGTCTTCACTTCAAAGCTCAGATGAATGCGTGATGTAGATTTTTTCCACGGGTTCATTGAAGAAGCTTATATTGAGAATAAGTGTCTAATATGTGTTTTATCTTTTTATAAGATCTTAAGCAAAGGAACTGGCCACTGGATGGTCTTTATGATCATTGCGCCTGATAAATGGTAATTCACTCGACAATGCGGAAATTGTTTTCTTTTAATGAGCATTCGAATGCAGACTGCGCATCCCTTCACTTCGTTGTTTTGGGCTACTTGGGAAAGGGGAATCGACGTTCCCTGGCGCCTCGATTTCAGAAGTCTGGCCATTTATACTCATGGAAATTATGATAGTGGAGTTTGAAATATGGTCACATCGGTAGACAAGAGTGATAATTTTCTGCATTTGACGATCAAATACGTTCACTGAAAGTCAATAGCAAATTTTGGCAGGCCACTGTTAAGCATTCAGTCATGTAAATGTGTCATACACCTTTATCAATTCATTTTGTTATCGTTCTACTGAAATTTATCCAATCCGCATTCCATTTTAGCCTAAATTGGAGCCAAGACCTGCAAACGTGAAGGCTCTCATTCAGAAGTGGGCAAGTGGAATGTGGATTTAATCAGAGTGAAAGGGAATGAAGCTTACTTTTAGCTGTTTTTTTCCTTTTAGGCATCAGTGGATATTCCAACCGAATCCCCTAAACCAGTAATGCGCTTTTCTGTCTTCAATTTATGCTTCTTCCTCATGTTTTTTTATAATTTTAACCTTCATTTACAAATCTCATCAGATTCCCAAATCTTACATCCCACTAGTATGTGACTAAATGGGTTTTTTTGTGGCATATTTTGTTTTTATTTTCATTTTCTCTATTGGTGACTTCTTTTACAGTTTCCAAAGAAAGTTGTGCCTAGCACACCAAAACAAGTGGTATAGTTGGAGCTTTAGTTAACATCACGCGCCTTTAATTGTATAATAAAACAATATATTTTTGATTCCTTAATCAGCTCTGCTTAGCAATGAATCTAATGGCATGCTAGATTGGTTGTCCTTCAGTTGACCTTTAATGTTTGAATGTATTGGGTGCAAGGATTGTTGTGACTGCTAAATATGTCTGCTTCTCATTACTAATGTGGCTTGGATCGATGTACTAGTTAATGTTGACGTTGACTATCGATTTCCTCTATACATTTGTGCGTCTGGATGTGTTGGCATTGAAACACAGGTTGGCGCCTCTGTTCATGTGGGCTTATTTCCCTTTGAGTCAAGTCTCTTGCACATCCATTTCTTACTCTGATATTGCAATTCTGACCCGTTTGATGCTATTCTCTTATACAAACCCCGTCCCTCTGAGTTACATTTCATCTTTGCTTTCTGCTTCAAGGCTTATTTTGAAGGATAGGGTAAATGAGCTAATTTCCAGCATTGGTGTAGATTTTACCTTGTGCGGTGTAATTTCTTCCCCTACCTTGAGTAATGGCATGCGACTAACAGGTGCGATTTTTAAATAAAAAGTGAATTATTTCTAGGGTGACACCTGTCCTTAACAATACCTTTCACGCATTTCTGTTATAATTAGATCCCAGGTTTTGCAAATCACTCAACCATTGATCGTTGTCTGAAGAATCACGTGACATTCATATTTAACTTTAATTTCCAAAATATGCGGCATTTGAAACGCTTAAACCTGAGATTAACTTGATCGAAATTTAACGGCGTAATTGACAGCATTAAATGATAGTTTGTTATTTTGTCATAGGTTATCTTTGACTAATTGCTGATCGTTTTTGTCTTATTGTTTGCAGGTTCCAGAAGTTGAGCCAGTCGAATCGCCTAAATCGCCAAAAGTTTGTTTTACTTTCTTATGATTCTATTAATAGAATTAATATTGATTATTTGAGTGTGTGTGTGCCATTGGCGTACTATTCAATGACTTCAACTATTTTATAAGAGGCTACATCAGCAATATTTCAGTGGATGGAATGACCAGCCACATTGGATGAAGTTTTGGTCAACAGAGGGGGCATATAATGCGTTGTTTTTCCCTTAGAGAAGTCCCATGTTGCATTCCTCTTTCCGTATCCCATTTGCCACGTATTCTGGCATATTAGTCGGCCCTCGAAATAGTGCCATCAGAAGTCATAATTCGAAATGTTAAATACCTTCAACCATTTAACCGATTTAGGGGGATGAAATTGTACTGTTTAGAGGAACCTGTAGACGAATATACATGTGGGGATGAGGTCACTTAGCCAGGCCAAAATAGTGTTAATTTTGACATTTTAATCAAAGCACTGGCCATCATGTGTCATGGCATCGATTTATATCAGCATACTGGTTAACTTTAATGCACTGTTCCAGGATTGTAGTCTCTTATAACTGATTCTCTAGATAATGAATTTTGTTTTGATAATATTTATTTTTAATTTCTACTTGTATCTTGATCTATTCATCTTTTTTGTTATTTTAGAGTCCGGAACAGTCTGAGACACCCACTCCAACCAGTCAACCTGAGGTACTAGACACTGACTTTATATTAACTTTTTATTGTGTTCTCAAAATTGATAAATCCATTTATTTTCCAAACTTCAGATTGTATTCGGTGTGGTTCCATCACCTTCACCGGAACCTGCGAAGGGTACATCTATTACTGCTGTGGCTATCTTCGACTACCAAGCCTGTAAGTTTATTGTGCTTGATCTCAAAGAAGGGGTCATTTCAAAATAATTTACCCGGGTTTTCCGAAAATCCACCCAGGGCGATTAAACGAAAAATTCCATTCCATGAAACTATTTTCGGAAACAAATAACCACGGGCCCTTATTCGAGTGTGCGGACATTCGGAATACCCTGGTATTACTCTCATTAAACAGAGAAATGCCCATGCTTAGTCTTCTTTAGCGGTTATCTAAGGCGTAATTAGATAATTATGCCGAGTCATAGGTCAGGACATCGTTGTTCAACGGTGTACGTCAATTAATGTAGAAGATCAATCGTGCTGGTTAATCCTGACCAAAGGAGGGGACGAAGCTTGACACTTTTTCTTAAGTTGCAAGTAATCTTGCCCAATTAGATCCAGCCATTTTTCCACACAAACAAATTATCAGCTTAAAGATTATTGCGTCACAACAGCTTCTTCCTAAAGGAGAGCACGTAGAGTCGACTTTGATTGAGACGAATCGAAGTGAGAAGTGAGGAGGGGTAAGAGAAAGAATTACCTACTTGCCAATTTAATTATTTTTATTTCTAGCTCAAAGTGATGAACTTTCCTTCAAAGAGGGTGATAGGATAGTTGACATTGAGAAGTTTGATGAATTTTGGTGGTCAGGTCGAATCGGAGATCGTGCTGGCATCTTCCCCGCTAACCGCGTTCAGGACACAGCTGTAGATGCTGCTACAAGCTCTTTAGGTGCTGTCGGATCCCAACAAGAGGTTGTCAGCAATATTACTGCAATGGCTCTCTATGACTTTGCTGCAGGTGAGTTTCTTCTACAGTATTGAAATACCCCCTTTTAGCTTCGGTGTATGTTTACGGTTGCCATGTGTTTGTGCGATGGCGCTTGATTAAGCCCTTTCCTTTTTCCCTTTGTTCTATTTCAGCTCAACCCGACGAGCTGTTTTTCAAGGCTGGAGATATGATTGTTGACATTGTCAAATTTGACAAGGAATGGTGGACGGGTCGTATCGGTAATCGATCTGGGATGTTCCCTGCCAATCACGTTTCTGAAAATTAAACTCATAGTCGTGTCTCCATTTTTTGTGAGCACGCCCTCTTTATATTTCTATCTCTTCGCCCTAAGTCTAATACTTCCCTTTCTTATACACGATGCTATTTGACTTGTTCACTTCATTCCTAAGATCTTCATACATTGCCGAATTTTGCTAAATTAAACAATCTACTTATTAATGACTAGTAGTGGTGATTTTCTGAACTTGATTTCTTGGGTTTTGAAGTGTCTACGTGTGGATATTTATTTATTCTAGAGGAAGAATGTTTAATAAATGTCATTCAACTACTTGATCTCTTAGTGAATTTCCTTAAGCATAAATGCAACTGCATAACTAATATTCAAATCGAATATGAAGAGTGCGATTGCTCTCAAATTGAAACAATTCGGTCATAGGCAAATGAAATGTGTGTGTGAATTCTAGTTTTTGATATCTTGTATTAACTCAAGAAAAATGCGTAACTGTAAATTTCAGCGTTAACGTGTATTGAGGCCATATGTATATATCAAGTTTCTGCTATGATTATGTGGCTTTATTGGCAATAATGAAGTTATTATAAGGTAGTGCATCAGACCTTTCTTCAGCTGATCTCATTTGAGCCGGTAAGATTACTGAAAAAGTAGTAATTTGGCGAAATGTGACTTTACAGGTGATATGTGCGTGCTCATGGTGTCTCTCTCCAGGATAAATTTGAGTGACCTTAAATTTTATTCTTAATAATTTAATAGATATGACAATAAGGCTAATCTTTATATTGGGTTCTCTTATTCATAAATTATCTTTCCTTTACATCTTCACATCCTTTATATATATAGCTGTCTTGTAAAAAATTAACAAAGGAGATGTTTATCTCAGCTGCTAAGGTTTCACCTACGCCTCAATTTGGATTAACTACGAAATTAAAGCTAGATGTTTGATTTATTGTTTATGACATACTGTTTTCCAGATATTACATGTGAAAATATTAATATGCTTGTTACTTTAAGTCAAGGTATTTGATAATCCACCACAACTCATCTTTGCACTTGGTTGAATTTTCATTGTTTTCTCATCACCAGGTCACATTTGTTCAACGGTTTTGACTCAACACCAGGCACCTCTTGTGCCTCTCCTAACGCACATGGTGTTTCGAGCTTATTATGCTACTAATTATTTCAAGCCATTATTTATTTTTTTATTTAAGCTCACGGAGACGAGTTGTCCTTCAAAGTCGGCGAGGAGATCGTTGATATTGATAAGTTTGACGAAATGTGGTGGCTGGGTCGAATCGGTAACCGTCGCGGTATCTTTCCCGCTAATTTTGTGAAGGAGTCAAAAGTTGTCATTGTGAAACCGACAGCACCTAATATGGCGAGAGCTAACTGTGGGATTACTGCTACGGCGATCCATGATTTTTCAGGATGTAAGTTTCCTGTTGTGCCCAAAATTAATGGAAAGCATTATTACAAATAGGGTAGAAACTCAGGATGCTGCGTGTTAGAAATCAGATATTTTCACCAAGTGCATTCTAGCATATTTACTCTCTCCTTTAGATTGTCCTCCTGAGCAAAAATAATAATAATAATAATAATAACAATGGTAGTTGGCTTGGAGGTCTTATTCCATAGGTGTTCACTAAACTTACGTTGAAAAAATGCGACGAAAGGTAAGAGAGCTAGTTTAGTCTTCCAAAAATTTGTATGAAGGGAATTCGTTCCTCGGGTTCTATACTGTTCTTAAGATGCTTTCATAATAGAATTAAGAAGGTTTCTTTATTTATGGTACGACCAATTTACCTTCTTTCTTCTAGTCTAAACTGGGGGTTTAAAGTGTCAGAGAGGTCATTAGAGGCGGTGGCAGTAGGTGACATGGAGCATATCTTACTATAATTTTATCGTCTCAAAAAACTATTTTACCCAATCATTAAATCTGGCAGGCATATTTCATTAAGCAATCTTTTCGTCTTTTCTCATCTTAATTACTGTTAGCCCCTCCTTTCCAGATGTGAACGCTAAGAGATGATGATGAATCATTGACAATTTTTGGAAGCCAATAGCAATTTCGGAGATACAACGATATAAATTTGAACGAAGAACGTTAAAATATGCAAGTGCATTGAGCGTAAAAAAACACGCCATGTGTACTCCACGGACAAATTAACAGAGTCTTGAAAGATCTATGTAAAAATCAATAATGTTCAATCTGTGGGTGCGCCATGTTACGTAAAGGGAGGGGGGGGGGGTTGCTGAGGTGTAATGTAGTGATTGGCTGACGCTAATATCTTTGAAAGTGATGTTGAAATGCATGTAGAGTTTCATTATCTAAGTTATTTAATTTTTTTCAGCCCAACTCCACGAATTGTCTTTCAAGGCTGGGGATGAAATCTCAGACATCGACAAATTTGATGACCAATGGTGGTGTGGTCGAATCGGTGATCGACTTGGAATCTTCCCTACTAATCATGTCTTTGAGAATTAATTTTTTATTTCTTTACTATTTAAATGACTCCCTTATTGATTATCTTTTTCTTTTCCGAGCCCTATTTCGTTTTGATTGGTGTTTTCATCCTGGTGATTTTTATTGATTTTTCGTATTTCTCCTCGATCATGGTTCGAATTTAAATTTTCGCCGCTAGTGACGAGTCAACTTTGTGAGGTTGTTTTAACCTTAAAAGTTGATCTTACAAGGTAATCAAGTCCTTTACGCTAAGCCTTAATGAATTGGAGTTTCAAAGTGCCTATTTTAAACCGGAGTTTTCATTGAACTAATTTAAGCTCGAGAAATAATCAAATTTGACACTTCGTAGGTGGATGATATGGATTGTATTTTGCTCCTCCTATGGATATAAATAACTCTCCTTGGAGAGCACCAGATTATGATTACTCCACCCAGTAAGAATGCCGAATAGTGATTTGTTCTACGTTATAGCTTTCGTTATTTGCCACCGAATGGTACCAAATTATACTCAGAGATAATATAATTAATTGATATCAAAACTATCCCTATTTTAAGTAGTTTTATGTGAATTCCATGGAGCCCAGTCTCTAAATATTCATGAATTTGTTGAAGTATTAGCACAGAATAGATAAGTCGAATGAATCATTTCGAGAGAAGATATGATCGAAAGCTAATTGATGAAGCACATATAAGTTAAAAATAGATACTTGCATAAAATGAATTTTTGACCGATGAACCCTCAAATGTCCGACTTAAAGTCTGAAGATCCGGTTAAATATAATTTATTTTCTCTGGTTAAATGCTGTGGCATAAAATCTCACATAAAGTTAAAATTAATAACTCAGTAAATTCAAAAGATATTCTTAAATCATATAATTTGAGGCCAGTGGAGATGCTCAGCCTCCATTTAAATGAGGCGATCCAGAATTGGCAACTGAGGCGTGCAGACGTTCGTTGTCCGCCCGAAGGAGGCTTAATTGTTGGAAAAGAAGATTCAATTGGTCACGCAATTGATCGACTTGATGGGCGGATGCGAGGGCCTGCAGTTGAGCATCTGTCAGGCGGCTTTCCCTTTCTGCGAGTTCTTTTCGGAGATTTTCGACTTCACTCTCAAGAAGGCAGCATCGTGTATGGGCTTCACAACACGAGAAATTTCCAGTTGAAACAGGAGGTGCAGGTCCGACCCTAGAACAGCCCAGTGAACATTTCTTTAAGTGACAGATTATAATTTCTCTTACCAATCAAGGCCTTAGCGTAGAGTATCACACGTATATGGAAAGAATGTCAAAAGGTGCTTCGAAGTTAGAATGATTTGGTCTTACCCATTGCCGAACTGATTTCCAGCAAAACCTTGTGGCCTGCTTACATCTGCGGACACCGAAGATGCTCGTACAAAATTCTTACGTAGGGCTACAAAGGCAAATGAAAATACTGGTTTAAATATGGTGATTCTGATTGAAATTTGCATTATTGATTTAGTTAGTGAACTTTTGGGAATTTGTGGTGAAGTTTAAGATGCCAAGAAATGGAATTTTCATATGTTTCTTTGGGTTTAGATTACAAATTTTGCCTTTAAATGCTCTTACAGGTAAAATGCGAACACAAACTGACCGATTATTATTTCTGGAATAGTTTAGTTATTTGCTGTATTTCAAAATGAAAAAAGCATTTAATATTAATATCGATGGATTAACTGTCCCCAATGTGCAATGAAAGTATAATGGAAAAATATGATATTTAAAATGGAAGGTAACTTCGGAATTGGAATTAAGTTTAGGATAAGATAGATATTCGAAAAATGGAACAAATTTTTGAAAATAGTGCCTTAAGCGATGGTTTTTTTCACCTAAAAACCCGACTCCATATCTATTCCCAATTATCCCATGTAGTTATGCAAAGCCATTGCCCCAGATTACACCCTGTTTTTTTATTGGACGAGCAAATATGACCTGATCTTAATGACCAGTGAACCACTTAAGTGTGTTTATATAAACGCCTTATAGTCTATCCAAATGACTTTCCACTTTATTGATATATTTTTAAGATAAATCTGTAGTTATGTACACAAACGTTCCTTTCAGAATCTGACAACTTCGAATAGTTCCCCATCTAATACTATGGTACCTAGGGTTATCAAGTTCGTATTCTTATTGGTTAATACAGATAAAACTCGAATGGAAATAGATTATCGAATACACTCTTGCTGAAAAAAGTTACTTGGAACACTAAGTAGACACTGTTTTTAATACTACGCTATTTAGTTAAAAAGACATCAACATGGCTAAATTGATTGGTCCCTCCCCCATGTGCGAATGCTTGCTGAAAATTCCACAGGCCAATAGCTTTGAGTGATAATTATCTACTAAACTGCTTTCTGAATGTTCGTGCTCTTGGCCTTGTACTAGTCTGACCTAAATGTTCATTAGCTCTTTTACAACATGGCACGAACTTACAGTCAGTGGCAATTTAGTGTAAGAGGTCAGACCTCATCCAGATACTAATTATTCGCAATGTACTTTTAACATCTCTCTTTAGCCTGTTGCGCTCTTTTAAGAATTCGTACATTTTCCTCCTTTTAACGAACTTCATTCACCGCTTAGAGTTTATTTATTGCAAATGTCAAATCGTTAGTCTAATCAATGAGCGAGAATGCCATCTACTCCGGTATGCCCGCAAGTATATATATATATATATATATATATATATATATATATATGCTCTATTATGCTCGATTATATTCGGTGCATTTTCGTCAGCAATTTGATTTTTGTTTGCTGTTTTAAATTCCTATAGAACAATTTGCCTTAAAATTTTATGACTTAAACAAACTCGAAAAAGCCTATTTGGTGAATCATTCTAAAAATGTAAAGAAACATAATTTCTACATAATCATTCCATTTTTAAAACATTGCATATATTCTGCATTTTGTTTCTAAATATTTCCACAAGTGGTGTGGTGAATTCTTTAATTTTGTCAAGAGCTTTGATGAATAGCACCTGTCGTAAATAGACAGAATTATCAAAAAAACAAGTACCACCCTCTCATTGAATTTTGGAAGGAAAATGTGAAATTGTTTACTTTTATCATATATTTGTTAGAGGTCTTGGTAATTCAATTGCAATTTCCCCATTTGATGGAACTTAGTGTTCAGACAGGTTAAAAGAGCAAAACCTTGAACGGTCATTATCGAAGGTTGACGAAACATGCTCTGTAACAATGAAGATGAACTCACCATCTTCAAACCATAAATTCTTTTTCGCTTTTCAAATGTTCATAAAAATAGGGTCAATTTCAAAGAGTGAAACATACCTGCAATAGTGTAGGGGAAATAAAATTTTAACAACTATAAAATTATTACCTAATTATAGTATTCTAAGACATACCATGCGATGGCCGATGTTCAGGAGAATTCCAAGCGCTGATTGGTGAAGGTTTATTGTGTTTTAATTGGCTGCCATTGGTATTTGAGTCTCCAACCAATGAAGTTTGCGAACCGCGTCGACGAAAGGCCTTATCAATAGAGCTTCTTAGCTGAAATAAAAGAAGGATCAATGAGGCCATGGTAGCACACCTTGGTTAGCTAAAACAATAAAGTAATAAGAACTGGAATAAAGGAGTGTTCAATCATTACGATTTCGTGCTCTTATTTTAATTAAAAATGCCAGCTTGTTCATTTTCATTTTTTTAATAAAATGAACATAAGCTATCGCTACTTTGTAGTAATGTCAAATTATCAATGACTTATTACGATTGATAAACTTAAGAGCATCGACAGCGAACACTTTTAGAGCGTCATCACCAACGTATCAGCTTAATTTGACAGTAATTGGATTTATGATATGGAATAAAAATGACGTTTTAAAACCATGTGGCAATAGGCTAATTAAAATGTAAATGATTAAACTAATGAAATTAAATGAGTCTATAAAGTTATAAATTAAAATTATTGGGAACACAATTATTTATTTTTCAATTTAATTACCCCAGTCCCTAGGCAAAATATGCGCAGGATAATTAATTAATACCCTTTACATAATAATTGCGCAAATGCAAATATACTTTTGACCATAATAATGAGATGCATTTCTTGATGAAGACAACGAGAGTAAATGATTAGAACCCACTTGAACCATGGATTGTGCACACCAGCAAACTGAATAAGGAGATTGTGGTCACTGTTCAGTGCTGCATCAATGTTTCCGAAGAAAACTGGTGAATGGAACTAGTGTGGCTAGAAGAAAGTAGCGTAGCAGACGATCTGCTTACTAGCGTTTTGCACAGTAGATTTCTTCGAAAATTTTCTTCAGAAAAGAAGCGTTGGAGCAATTTTACATCGTTGTTCGGCTGACACCACAGTTATTTAAACGTCTCTGGTTCTACTATGAAGCTTGTACTCAATGAAGACCTTCTCACAAGTTCATATACACATCGCAAGTACTAATGTATCACAAGAAACACCAACGAAAACGATTTGACAAAGGCGAAGATGCTTCTGGGTAAAGTAGAGCAACCTGATGAAGCACAACTAACTAGTTTCTTCTCTGATGAGAAAGGCTTTAGATTGGATGACATGGCCTAAATAGAGGCCAAAGGACATTTCTCGAGTAATCCAGACTAAATTGACACGAATCGTCAAGGTTTTTTGAAAGTATGCTCTCTTTCGAGCGTAACTCGACAACTCCTCCGAATTTGTTCAAGGAGGGACTTGGGTTGAATCCAGATGCTTAAGCGAAGATGGCCAATAATAGCCCCCATATGTATGGGAAAGACGAAATTATTGTGAGTCAATTTGTAAGTTTACACTAGTCACCGAACTTCTTACCTCTGGCAGTTCTTAACACAATGGATTATTATGTATACTATGAAGCTGTGGGGATAATCACTAGTCTTCATAGCAGTACTACAAAGTTAATCAAATTCATCTCAATTTCGTTGTTAGTTAAATTTCTTCAAAATCAATAAACTCTTCAGTTAGTAGTTGACTTTGTTCTTGTCGTGGCTGTAAAATATTCCCAAAATGCCTGTTTTACTTATATTCTCGTATTATTTCAAAAATGACAAAATTTTAGATTTTTAGAGCTTTTTCACTTTGAGAAAAGGTCAATGTCACCTGTACCCATGTCCATTTTGATGGGTTACCTTGCCAATGATTAAGGGGATTTTAAATTCTTAAATTAAGTTCCCACGACGGTGTACTGACCTATTAAAGACCGTAGATGTTACTGAATTTTATCAAAGTGCTAATGAAATGAAGTGGCTCGCAAAATATATATAATATCTTGCTTTTTCTTATATTTTAAATATTTAAAATGCAAAAAATCATAACTAAGAAAGTACTCACCCATCCGCCTTTTCTAACACCGGACGACTTTGGTGTTCCCGGGGGAAGACTATTCGATGTCTCTTCTTCCATCTCTCCGTTATCGGTAATATTTGCGATGGGTGTTGTAGTACTACTGGAATTGAGATTACTCATCGAGGATGGTGAAAAAGGAGGTTTGGCGCTATTCTGTTCATTGACAACTGAAGAGGAAGGTGTTGAGCGTTCTTGCACCATTGCATCGATAATTTGACGTAGTTCCCGAAGTTCAGAATCCTAAAGGAAAGATGACTTCAGATTCGCTGAATTTGCTTTCCAAAACTATTCAATTTTAAAAATTGATAAAATATACATTAATAGAATAGATTGTATTAACAAATTTCATCTGGTATTGTTAAAAGTTTCATTTCATTAGCTTATTCATAAATAAGAGAAGTATATTACGACGAATTTAATTTAAAAATATCACACCAAAGGCTTCGGAATTAAGCCATGCTTACATGAGCAACATACCTATTTTAACAGGATTTAATTTTCCAGACCAAGTAATAATTAATGTAGTAAATTAACTAATTTCTAGTCTAATTTTACTTGGACATAATTATCATTTTGGTGAAATGCAAAAAAACGCAACGAGATAAAATTTGTTGAAGGGTTGAGGAATGTTGTTCATAGGGTTAAGGTTTTTGCCCCTTCAGTACCAAGTTCAGACGAATATTCACATTTATCATAATAATAACTTTCTTTAAAAAAGTATTTAAATATTTGAATTATTGATTAAACTAATAATAACTATATTAGTGCTCAAGGAAGTTATAGGTGGTTATACCCAAAGAGTAATGACCCTATCTTATTCAATTCATCAGACAAATATTCTCATTTAATTGGGGTTTAAAAGGGCTTTACTTCTGATCAAACATTTTTAAAAAAATGCACGTTTTAAGGACGAAAATTCGAATTGCTTTCGATTTTTACGCAGCAGTTTTGTTTTGACAAATGGAATACTTCCTTGGCGGCTATATTCTTACTAGCTTCTAGAAGTAAGTGAAATTTTTGTAACAAGAGAACAAGGAAATTATTATCAATAATTAATAATGTTCACCAATGCCCAACTAATCGGAAACCCAGCCACCTTCTCAACGTAAACAAGATGTTAAATTCGGGTGTCGCAAAAAAGTCGGCTGAGGCATATGCAGAAATGCTGCAAATACACAAATAAAGAGAGATCATACAAAAGCCGGTAGCTGCACAATTTCCAAACCGCGAAACCAATGCCTTGACCGCGAAAAAAGAATACACCACGGCATCCGCGAAATGGCAACGTTGATGAATCATCCGCTAATATCTTCCCCTTACTCTCCACCTACATCATCCGTCGCTTTCTGCTGCCTGCACACTGATCTCGTTCAACTCCTAACCGCTTGTCAATGCGTTTATAAACTGCAATCTAACATTTCAAGCAGGCAATTACCTACATGGGAGGAATAGGAGGAGGTGTTGAAGGCCGTAGAAATGTCTTCGTTTGTTTAAATGGGTAGATAAGCACTACGTGTTTTGATATTGCCTATCTAGGGGTGTGCGATAGACATACCTCCACGTGGTGCACCCTG